GTGTGTAAATTTAAAAGACAACACTCAACTCCATTACTGTCTTTTCAAAAAATATTTCATTATTTTTATTTTATGTGTATGTGTGTATTGCCTGCATGTAGGTAAGTACACCCGTGTCGTGCAATGCCAGCAGATGTCAGAAGAGACTGTCGGATCCCCTGGAACTGGAGTTACGGACAGTTGTTAGCTGCCATGTGGGTGCTGGGATTCGAACCCAGGTCTTCTGCAAAAACAGTGTTCTTAACCACTGAGCCATCTCTCCAGCCCCTACTATTATATACAGTGCCCATGGAGATCAGAAGAGGGCATCAGATTCCCCTGGAACTGGGGTTACCTATGGTTGTTAGCCACCATGTGGGTGGTAGGGATCGAACCCGGGTCCTCTGCAAGGGCAGCCAGTGCTTTTCATTGCTGGGCCATCTTTCCAGCCCCACAACTCCATTATGGTCTTATAAAACTCATAGATCCAGTTTCTCTTTCTGAAGTGTCTATGGCTATCAGGCTTATGACCCTGCTCAAAAGATCTAGAAAGTATCATGCAGTGTAAGGTCATGTCTAGCATTTGGGCAGCCTGGTGGAAGGATGATGCAGAGTCAGGTATTTGCTCTTGTTTGCATAATTGGAGCCATGTGCCTCCTGTTCCCTCCTGTCCCCTCCTGTCCCCCCCGCCCCTCCCGTCCACCCCGTCCACCCCAGTCCCCTTGTCTCTCCCATGCTGCCATGCCCCCGCCTGCCAGATCACAGCTGTTGGTGATCACTGCTAATCCTGTTTGCAGTCTGTGATGATTTAGATTAAAAGTGCCTTAACCTGCCAGATAATTCAAGCTGCTTCTTGGAGTCTGACTAGAAAGTACTGGGCAGAAATCTTAGAATTTTTTATTGTAGAAATTCATCAATGTTCATTTCAGTGTTCTTTGTGTGTTTCTATATTTGCACTCAGCTTTGAATAGTAGTGTCATCTCAAGATATCTAAAAGGAGAGGGTATTACTAAGAAAACCCATTGATCTTTATTCAGTTTATACATTTGCCTGACCTTAACAGGTTGAACGCTGTTTAGAAAAGATTAGGATCTCTGGACCAATGAATTTTTAAAAAATTATTTGAAGTCTGCTGTGGTGCCACATGCCTGTAATTGTAGTACTTAAGAAGTGGGGAGAGGAAGATCAAAATTTTAGAGGCTATCCTTGGCTATCTAGAGTTTAATGCTAGCCTGGGCTATATGAGCCCTATGGGTTTTTGTTTTGTTTTGGTTTGTTTTGTTTTAAATCTGAGAAGCTGGAAAGTACTAGATAGCATTTCATCTTATTTTTACCCGGTGATTCCTTATAGTCACATGATGAGATCAGTGGCCTTATAGTCACATGATGAGATCAGTGGCCATAGAGGTTTCATGATCAGTGCTGTCTCCTATACAGGCAGAATTCTTACCATTTCAGGCTTTGCCAGTGTCATATATACTATTGATTCACCAAAACTACTTCTCAGCCTTCTCTTGACAGCCCTCTGGTCCACCAGTGCCTCACAGCCTTCTGTCAGCAGATGCCAGGTGCTTGAGAATAAGCGGAAACGGGCTTTTGTGGCCAAAGGCCACCAGTTAGTGGCTGCTTAAGACCAACCGTTCTAATTGTACTTTTCTAAGTTCATACATAATCTTGACCCTTGAAGCGCTAGCCAGGCCTCCATGGAATTAGATTTCTTTGCTGTCTTACACATGTAGCCAATATTCATTTTAAGTAGAATTAATTTTTAAAAGGTCTTGTAAGCCGGGCGTGGTGGTGCACAACTTTAATCCCAGCACTCGGGAGGCAGAGGCAGGTGGATGTCTGTGAGTTCAAGGCCAGCCTGGTCTACATAGTGAGTTCCAGGATAGCTGGGGATAAAATGACCAAAAAAAAAAGGTCTTGTAATGTGCCTTATACAAAAAGCATTAGAAAGGCTGAATGATGACTTCAGTGGTAGGGTGCTTTCCCGGCAAGCACAAGGTCCTGGGTTCCATCCCTAGTACTGCCAGCAAACAAACAAAGCTCATCCAAAGCCAAGTGGTAGGAAAATGTTTGAGATCCAGTATTACAAAATTAAAATCAGAAAAACTGTATATAGCCTTGAGATACATATGTAGTAAAAATAAGTTATAATTACAAACAAGATTCACAATTCACTTACCTGTGGGGGGAGAGCAATGAGATTTGTAGGACACATAGGTCATAGGACAGAATTGGTAGTGTTCCTTTTCTTAAATTGGATAGTGGATATGTAGAGTTTTATTAGTAATATGCTGTATAATCTACATGTGGAGTTTTTCTTTTAATAGTGATGAGAATACAGAGAGAATGCCTGGAAAGGTCTTAGGTGATGCTCACTCTTGTTCTTTTGTATTAATGTTCAAAATTATAAAAATAAGGAAAAAGAGGGAGAAAAACATAAAAAGCAACAGTCTCCTAACAGCTTTACTTATTCTTCTTCCTCTATGTCTAATTAATGCTTACACCTTAGTCATAATCACAGTGTATGCCGCTATTTACATTTTGTTTTGTTTATTTTGTTTTTAAGACAGGGTCTCACTCTGCAGCCCTGGCTGGCTGGGAAATAATTAAGTAGACCAGGCTGGCCTTGAACCCATAGAAATTCACCTGCCTCTGCCTTCCAAGTGCTGGGATTAAAGACAAGCACCACCATACTCAGCACTATTTATATTTATGACACAAAGTAGATTTATGGTCCTTATTTTTGTTGGTTTTAATGGCATAGTAATATTTCTGTAGTGATTAGTAGCTTAGTATGCTAACTATTTCACTGCCATGGTACTATATTCTTTCAACCTCTTTGTTTTGAATTATCTTGAAGGTTCATTCATTCAAGGAATGGTTTGCCTCTATTTAAGACATTCTGTGATTTGCTGCAATTACAGTGATAAGCAAAATGAACCATAATCTCTGTTCCTATGGAATTTAGAATTGTGACACACTTCTGATTTTATATTAACCACATTAATCCTTGTTGACTTTTTATCTTGTGTAGTTTCATGTGCTGTTGTGAGAAATAACAGAAATTCCATATACCTTTACCCATTCCCCCTAGTTGCAATACCCTACATATCTATAGTTTAATACTAAAACAAAATTTGACCGGCAACCTTATTCTGATTTCATCAGTTTTTGAGATTTTATTTGTGTATTGACCTGTATGTTTGTAAGGATGTGTTTCTGTGCCATTTTATTACATGTGTACTTTGTTGTGACTGCCATCACAGTCAGGACACAGAACAGTTCCATCACAGAACTCCTCACCACACCCTTTTACAGCCACAGCTGAGTCTTCTCTCTGGTCCTGGTCAAGCACAAATCTTTCCTCTGCGTTTCTGTTACCCTAAGGACAGCCTTTATTGTGACAGTCACATGGAAAAGAAAACCAGTAAGACTTCGGATCACTGTGCCTTGGCCACCGTGTGTGCATCTCCCACTTTTCGGTTATCTTTGTAAAAACCGAAGTCAGCTTCTGACTTTGGCTTTAATATTTTGTGCCTCAAGATACATCTTTGCCTATATAAATAGAATCACCTTGTTATCGATTTGTGTTTTAGATTTTTGGACTGTTATTATAATGGTACTTTAAGTACCATTGACTAGGGGCCTATAAATAGTAGGAATTCATTTATTAGTTCTAGAGGCTGGGAAGTTCAAGGTCAAGAAGCAATCAGGTTCAGAGTATAGAAGGCCTACATTCTGCTTCCCACACTTGTCTTTTTGCTAAAACTGACATAGCAGAAGGGGTGACGGACCTCGGACCACTTTTTGTAAGGGGATAAATTCAGTTCCCCTTGGATATTAGGGTTTCACCATGTACATTTGGGGGACATAAACATTCCATCCATTGCATTTTTGAAACAGTGACTCATACTCTGTTCCCAGTTTTGGTTTTGAGTTACCTGCACATTGAGGAATGGGGACCTGTCAGAGGCTTCTTATACAGAGAAGCTTCTCCACAGAAGTTTGTTCAGTGAATCCTACTGGTCTTTCAATTTGATGGATGGAAAAAGTAGGCTTTGTGTAAGGGGATAGGCACATGTGAATTTAAAAGCCCTCATCATACTACTTTACTCTTAATTTAAAATTTCCTTCCAATCCAAAGGAAACCAAATAGTATGGACAGACTACTGGACTCTTTAAAAAATATTATTTTTATTTTTTGTGTATGAGTGTTATGTCTGAATGTATGTAAGTGCACCTGTGTCATGCAGTGCCAACAGAAGAGGGCATTGGATCCCCTGGAACTGGAGTTACAGATGGTTGTTAGCCACCATGTAGGTGCTGGGAACCTGGGTCTTCTGCAAGAGTAACCAGTGCTCTTAACCACTGAGCCGTCTCTCTAGCCCCAGACTATTGGACTTTTTATATATTGCGAGAGAATATTGGAGCTTGGCACAAAGCAGACCCAGGACAGAATCAAACACACAGCACGACAGCCTGACACTTTAGGAATGTGACCCCTTGTCAGCCGCCCTCCCCACGTTCCCCGTCTGCTGTCCACTCCTGCGTTTGTGAAGTACTCCTCAGCAGCCTCAGGTGTGGCTCAGGCACGGCGTCCCCTGGAAGGCCTCCCCCAAGCCATGCCCTATACTTTGCTAGTGCCTGTGCTTTTTTGATTCTCTGTGCTCACCCCTATCTGTGATGATGTTCATTCACCTTTAATTTGCTGGCATCAGTATCTTGTGTCCCACCCAGACCCTTGTGACGATGATGACCATGTGTCTTATTCACCTGGTACAGTGTGTGACATATAGTAGCTATTCATTAAGTATTTACTGAATAAATAAATTAGGAAAAATGGCCATTCACCAGGAAACACACACACACACACACACACACACACACACATCTAGTGGGCATGACATGGAATTCATTATTCAAAAAAATTAGGATGTTGTTTTAAGCTTTATATATATTTCTGTAAATTACTGAACTTACCTACGATTCCTTTTTTGTTTTTGTTTTTCTTTCAGGTGGGGACCAGGGCTTACTGAATACATTTTTTAGCAACTGGGCAACAACAGATATCAGGAAACACCTGCCTTTTATTTATAACCTAAGCAGCATTGCTGTATACTCCTACCTCCCAGCATTTAAAGTGTAAGTGCAAATGGCTTAACTGCGGTTGGGTGCCGTGGAGGCAGGGGAGTGGACTTTAAAGACTCCCGAGTGCTTCACTGACTTTCTGAGGGAAATAATAGTTGGGTGGTTTGAGGAAGCTTTCTCTTGTAAAAAGCATGGCTATGGTTGCCAGAGACTTGATGTTACCCGTTGCTTTATACTTATGCATTTAACTGCCTTTGGGGTCAAGGCTCTTCTCTGTTTCTGGATTGGAACACAGAACATGGGGTCCTCAGATAAGGTGCAAACCTGTCTTCTGTCTCATACTGGCTGCTGAGTTTTAGTTTGCTTCATCTTCACAAGGAGGGTATTACCCAATCCCCTCCCGGGATATTGTGGGGACTAAGCAAGCCCAGGCAGCAGTGTGATATAGTGGTTAAGAGGAGGAGCTCTGCAACTGAATAAACTCAATTCATATCCTGAACTGGCCACTTAACCAGTTGGGTTTAGAAACTGCCTCAGTACCTTCATGGGGTTATTGTGAGCATTGAGAAATATAACTGTGAAAGTGATTAGGAGTCCCACCTATGCTTAGCACTAACTGAAAGATTGTTCATCATTTTGGTTGAGAGTCAGTGTAGTGTTAAAATGTCCCCAAAGCATGGGCTGGAGAGATGGCTCAGTGGTTAAGAGCACTGCCTGCTCCTGCAGAGGACCTGGGTTTGGTTTCCAGCACTTACATGGCAGCTAACAACTGTCCGTAACTCCAGTTTCAGGGACTTCATAGCCTCTTCTGGCTTCCATGGACACTCTACACACGTAGGTGATGTACCTACATACATACATGCAGGGAAAATATTCATTCACATTTAAAAAAAATCCCCAAAGCAAAAAACCAAGAAAACAAAACCAAAAAATGGGGTATATGCCCTCACTCTGTCATTTATCTGCAACATAACTTACAGCTCTGTGCCTCAGTCTCCCCATTTGTAATTTGAGGAGAAAAACAGTACATACTTTGCAGAGTTGCCGAGAGGATGAAGAGAGTTAATGCATGGAAAGTGCTCGGTGGACATCGGCCTTGTGCTGGCTCGTTTTGGTAACATCCTTCCTTGTTTTGCTGAGTCCCTGGTGCAGTTCTAGTTTAGCTAGTACAGCCTCACTGCAGTATTTATCCCACTGCAGAGGCTCAGAGCTGCTCTTGGCCTCTGACTCATTTGTGTTGAACTAAGAAGATGATTCAGACTTCTTGAATGGGGCATGGCTATCAGGTTGACCCTGAGACACAGCGGGAGGCAGTGAGGCCCTTTATGGAGTTGGGCTTGTCTCTGCTGTCTCTGTCTAGCGCGGGCATTCTTGAGTGGCCAGGAACAAAGGGGTTTTACTGCTCATGTTTCATCATCCTAAGTCCTCTCTGGATGTCTTGTAACTCAGTAATGAGCATGCCTTGATTTTTGCGTCAGAAACGTTTCCTTTCCAGTGGTGTTTTTGGACGGACTCTGACCATGGTCAGTTAAGATCCATGAGTATCTTGTACTCTTCCCTCCCCATCCCCTTGGCATGCCTCTGACACAGTGTCAGTGCTTTACCCTTTCCACAGTAAAACAGGCAAACTCTTAAATACCTCAGCTATTCCAAGTAAAGCAAACAGAGCAGAATTCACCATCCAGAGAAGACTATGTTATTTTCGCCTCTCAGTCCTTGGGCTTGTAAAATACAAATCTGTTTTGTGTGAGATTGTGGGCCTGGTTTATTTTAATCCTTACTGCCTCATAACTAGCCCTTGCCAGCTTGAACAGTGTTCCTATAGACCATGATAGCTTGACCCCTCTGGAGCTGAATTTGCCTATAATAGAGCAGTTGCTATAACCTAGCTGACTAAATTAGCTTAACAAGTAAAAAAACCACTAAAGTGCAAAGACTTTTTGATGCCATAACCCGTGCACTGGGTTGTGCAGTGATCAGTCAGGATAAGCATATCAGGAGGCATGCCACGTCTTCCATTCGATTTCAGTCCCCAAACAATGGAGAACCTAGTGTTAAGGAGTCACTGTTTCCCTTCCCTAAGGCTCAGTTTAAATGATTCCCATCTTATTTGCCAACATCAAACACATACCTTTCAGGGACAGCTTGGTTCATTTGAATACTGCTTGTGTTTATTTTAACAAAAAACTTAGGTCTGGGGAAGAAAGAGGAGGATCCTCTGCTAGACCTTCGGTCCCTGTCTTTCAAGAGATCAATTGTTTTATGTGCTCTAAAGGAATTTTCCAGACACGGTGTGAGATCTAAATGATCGGGTGGCTGGAGAGCTTCTTCCTGGCTCAGGGACTTTGGAGAGGTCCTGAATTTGTTACCATTTCTGTAGAGTGTACCGTACATTGGGGGAACTGGGAGCACCTCCATTGGTGAACTATCAGCCAGCCTGTGGGCTGACAGGAGTTAATGCTGCTTTTGTATAGCTCACCCACAGGGGTAAAGGCTCTCCATTTCAGTGACCTGCTCAAAGTCAGGCCTTGTCTCATCCCATTTCCTGCCTGCTTAGGATTGTTGAAACCAGACCAGAGAGCTCATTTTCCCTTCCCTTGCCAGAATATGTTTTTGTTTTTCTTTATAGACATTTTCCCTTACATATGGGAAAGGGATGAAAAGATGACTGTAGTTACATCTCTTTTATGTCTTAATGTAACACATCAAAACTTAGACTAAAGTAGTCTATCATACATAAATACCTGAGCCACTGTTACTAGTCCTTAGAGAGTCCTGCCAGTTTGAAGCCTATGTTCAGTTCAGAAGAGCCTGGTGGTCTCCAAGGCTGAGCAGCTCTGGCACCTGCTGCTTCCCATAGGTCGCCATGGGTAATGGCAGGCAGAAAGGGAGACTGAGGAGTAGTTTAGAGCAAGGGGCTTCACTGGAAAGAGTCAAGAATTTGTCTTGGGAGCTAGAGAGATGGCTCAGCAGTTAAGAACATTTACTGCTCTTTCAGAGGATCCAGATTCAATTCCCAGCACCCACATGGTGGTTAACAACTGTCTATAACTCCAGTTCCAGGGAATCTGACACCCTCTTCTGGTCTCTGTGGGCACGGCATGCACATGGTGCACTTACATACATGCAGGCAAAACATTCATGCATGTAAAATAAAAGTGTAAATTTTTTTTTAGAAAAAGAATTTGTCTCAAAACTGTACATAACCATTTTCCATGAGATCACCAAAGCAGAATTTAGATGTTTCGGAATGTTAAGTCCTGGCTGTCTTAGAACACTGAAGCCTTTTGTTTTGCTTTTTGTGTTTTTCATTTATGTGTATGTATATTTACCTACATGAGTTTATGTGTACCACATGAGCAGGTGTTGATGAAGGCCAGTGGACATCAGATCCTCTGGGAATGGAGTTATAAGTAGTCGCATGCTGTTATGTGGGTGCTGGGAACTAAACCTGGATTCTCTGCAAGAGCAACAAGTGCCCTTGACTGAGAGCCGTCTCTGCAGCCTCACTGAAGCCTTTTACAGATATACTATTTCCACACACATGCACATCAGACACACACTTAAAAACAAGTATACTATTAAATGCAGTTTTAATGGCCTGGTGGAAACCAAACAACAAGCATTTGAGCCATGAAATAGTTTATCTATCTAATGCCTTTCTCTGTATACCATCTGAATAGAATAAGACAAAAAGACTTAATAGCTTTATCACCTATAGTGACTACTCAACCATAGTTTCAGAAAAACAAAAAGTAGTGTATTTTAGAAGGTGCTTTTTAATACAATATAATTTGAGAACTAAAATGTTGGTCTAGTTATTTTAAAGTTAATTTGTAGTATACATTGGAAAACAAGTTATAATTGTGTTTCTAAGTGAAATGTTAATTTGTTTTGCTTAGCATAATGTTTGAGATATAATTGGCTTTTAATGAATAGTACAGCTTTTTAAAAATGTTTTCTCCTTTGGGCATGGTGGCACACACCTTTAATCCCAGACTTGGAAGGCAGACACAGGTGGACCTCTGTAAGTTCAAGATCTACGTAGTCTCAAAAAGACCAAAAAATTTTTCTCCAACTAGAAGGCCTGTTTCATTCATATAGTATAGAATTTGGTTTGTGCAAAGCGCTAGGAAAAAAATCATCAGTGTTTTCAAAGTCACTGGTTTACTGCCATTTTAGATTTCTTTTTCATCCATTAACTGCTAGCTCTTTAGTACAGATCATGCTGTATAAAACATGCCTAAGGCAAAGATAAAGAATTCTCTGTAATGCATCATTACTACTGCAGAAATTAGTCAAACTGACTACAAAGTGTAATTTACAAATAATTCTTTATAATTCTTTCTATATAGATTTTTTATTTTTGTTTGTTGGGGTTTTGAGTTTTTTGTTTTTTTTTTTTTTTTTTGAGTATGGCCCCAGCTGGCCTGAACTATTTAGACCAGGCTACCCCACCCCCAGATCTGCTTGCCTCTGTCTCCTGAGTGCTGAGCCATATAAATATTTTTATTTTACTCTTTTACTTCAGTTTAAATATGACCTGAGACGTAGCATAGAGAAAAATGAGAATTTTTTTTCCCTGTATTTTACTGCTTTAAACTTTTCTGAGGCTAATCACACATTTTTTCAAGGATCTGGCTTATTGACTAAGTCCTTATCAAACATACTTAAAAGCAATCTTTCCCTGAAAGAATCCAAACATATAATGCCCTAAATTCTATTCATTTTTGTTGCTGGCTGATTTTCCCTTGGTCCCGGGGCACCTTGCCTCTTGCTCACCAAGCTGTACCATTCCTACTTCATTTCTTTTCACTGTCCTACGTCTTTACCTAAATCCTAAGTCTGTGGTTGTTTAAGCCACTTTTCCAGCTATTTGTTGACCTACTTATCATTCCTGCACTCAGCACACCTGGAGTGTGTGCAGTGCCACACACTCAGCTCTAATCCACGTGGCAGCAGCTCAGGTGCTCAGCCTCCTGTCCCATGGGAAGCGCCATCATGGGCTGAGTGCTGAGGAATCAAGTGGCGACTGCAGACGCCTTGTTCCTGTT